AGGGTTAAATGACCAAGGAGGTGGCTGCCTAACCCTCCCTCCCCATGACCCTGGAAGAATCTGAGATGAGTTTTAGACAGGCAGCATTACCTGAGATCCATTTTATTTCTTGTAGAGCACACAGAAATCCTTGGATGGAAACAGGCCATTCAGCATGGATTGGCAGCTCTCTTAAAGACACTTATTAACTCCAAAGATATTCCAGTCTGACCTCCAAGTTATCAGAGAGCATTACAGTTCAGCCAGTTACCATGCAATAAGCCCAATGGTTTGTGTTTGACCAGAGCAAAAGTTTAATTAGAGAATATTGTCCAGAAAGGCACTTTCCGGACATATGAAGACCATGATATTAGAATGCAAAGGGTTATCTCACTGTAAAWGGCAACATACTTTTCCAGATTTTATGGTTCCGGTTTTATTGATATTTTATTAAATATCCCAATTCCTGGAGCCAGTGGATTGCATGACATACTCAGTTTTTATTAAACAAAATAAGAATAAATCTCTAGTCTTCATTGTTAAAAGGAAAAAAAATGCATAAAACATGCAATAACTTATCCTCCAGGCTCAGAAAGTACAATGTAAATTAGCCTTTTTTTTTTTTTTTTTTTTTTGGTAAGGTCTGGTTATATAAATAGACATGCTTTCTCTTATTACCTGTTTAGAACCCCATCAGATTCTGAGAAATACATTTAGTTTAAAACATTATATTTTTGAAAGAGATTAAAACATTCCAATAGAGTGACAGAGATTTTAAAGGCAAGTGCACAACAAAAATATTTCTTGAACTCATAAATGACTGACATGGATCACCAATGAAGTAGATATTGCTTATTAAAAAGATAGCTTGCTGACAAGGGAAGTTCAAAACTAGGTATGCCCCAAAGGAACATAATTTTCTTTATCTATATATGAGGTCCCCAAACTGATTCATGATCAGAAAATATTTTTTCAGTTGTTTCCGGAAGAATGTAAATGACGTTTCATGAAGAGATAAATTAACTGTTGTCACATTAGCATGGTTCAAGTGTTGATGGGCCTTCAGTTAATATATTTTAGATGCTGTGTGTTTTCAGATAAAATGCCTCATATTACTGGATCCCTGGAATAATGCTTTACACATTTGTGAGCTTTTCACCCACTGATCTCAAAGTGCTTTTCAAACACACACTCCAGCACCCATGCTGAGCTTAAATACACCCTTCTTTATTTTAYAGCTGGAGAAACTCTGCATTTCTGAGCTATGAGTAAAATTCCAGCTTGAGCTGTAATATGGCTTGAACCTTAATTACTTACATGCATCTCTTGTGCACCTTTTGGAGACCACAAAGTCCCCATGATGCTGATGGTAAGAGAGCTGGAGAGATCCCTGCTGTGTCCTGTACACTGGCTTTTTCCTGTGCACAAGCTTTAAAAAGCACAGGCTTTTTCTTGTACTCTGCAGAATATAACTGCAGGTTGTTTTCTAGAAGGCTGACAGACACATGGAAGAATAGTGAGGTGATAAAAAACACTGGCCAACACCTCTGAACACACATTTGGAGTATTCTGCATCTGCTGAATGGCTATTTAACAGTCCTCCAGCCTACCAGGGACCTCTGGGAGGAACCTCATCTTGCAACTCCCTTTGGGAGATGAGACTTGAATTGGAACCATTAATCCTTCCTTTTATGAGGCATATTTGGCTGGCCAGCTGACCGGATGTATTCTCTGTGTATAGTGATACATGAAAACCTGCCTCTGACCAACTATATTGACACCTCACTATATTGAATCTTCTGTGAGGTAGGCAGATTGGACCCTGCTCTTGATCTGTCAGTAACCACAACTCTGAGGGAATTCTTCTTCAGAGTGTGAGAAGACAGCTTTTCTTCTTCCTGCTAATTCAGCTTTTGGCTTGGAGGCAAAATAAATTAATTCAAAGGCATGCACTTAGGAAGATGTGACTGAAGCTTAAAAATACAGGAATGAAGAAATTCAGCTGACATGAGTGTAACTGGACCACCAGGCACTTTTCACTGTTTTTATTGAATTTGGACTTTAAAAAAATATTTCCAACCAGTGCTCATAGGATGTGGCAGCTGGACAAAGAAGAGTAGCAGTAAAAAGAGCGAATCTGATCTCTGGACTTTACTAGTCCTGTTACTCTTGTCCTATTCACATAACTCTGAGTCTTACAGTGGGTTTATTCCTTAYGCAGCAATAGTTAAGAAGCAGTTAMTGCCTCTCTGGGCACAAAATGAAGCATGCAATAAAAGGGAGACCTCACCATATGTAACCAGTGTTAGGGGTTCCCTCAAACAAGTACCAGAAGTTCAGGTGATAAGAGAAGCCCAATATATAAGTCCTGTCAACGGCAAGCTTGATTTAGCGGCTTTCTGAAGCTCTGGGTCCTCTGGTGAAGGGAAGTTGTAGCTACCCCACGCCTCCCATAGCCAGCAGGGTCTGACCCACTCATGGTTTGCTGGAGTGTGCTACCACAAAGGACCCTTCTGCCACTACAGATACGGTGTCCAGATTTCAAACTGCCCCATGGCAGGGATTTAAAGCAGTAAATTCCTAGTATATCCCTAGGAGCAGGGTTCTGTTATTGCTTGCTAGTGTTTCTTTAGTAAGTGCCCACGGGAGCAGATGATTAAAATCTGGGAGGAAGGAGGTAGCTAATTTGGTTGGGTAGAAAATGCCTAGAGCTGAAGGGAACAGAGGCCAAAAGCAATGATCTGCATGGAGGTAGAATTCTCACTGTGGGGTTTCATGGCTTCTGTCTGCATTTCTGATCTCTGCCCTTGAGCACCCCTTCATCTGGCAGCCAAGAATGTGCTGTCTCGTCCTGGCAGGACCTCTGTGGTTTGAAACACAATTTGGAGTTCTTGGATCCAACTCTAGGGTTAATTTGGTACTGAATGAGTCCAAGACACAGAGAATGAATTAGAGACCAGAGAAGCTGAGTGTTGAGGGCAGGTTCCCCCTGTGAAAAAGTAGATATCTGACCTRGCACATGCAGCTATCCTGCCTTCACTATCTGGGGAGTGGCCATCTGTCCTGAGTCCTGTTGAGCCTTGTATTTAGGTCACAGGCCATAAGAGGCTGCAATAGGMATGTATGGCAAGGATGGATTAAATTCATGCTAAGATGGGAGAAATATCAACAATTATTACTTCCTTGATCTCTGCCAGGGRAATAATACTGATTTTTCAGGGCTATATATTTTAACCCCACAAAGATCTCTCTTCCTTGGTGCCCGGAGGCTGGATGTTATCAGGTCAGCCACTTCAAAAGTACAGTCTTCTCATTCCCATATCTGCACTGTGTGGGCTTAAACTAAGCTGAAAATGTATTTCTTTCTTATCAYCCCTCTTGGAATTATCTGGGAAACACAGACCTGGAACTTTAATCATTTTATTTCTGAGTCTYCTTGACAGCATGGTAATTTATTAACCCAGGAACAACTGCATGTAGCYGATTGTGGTGCAATCCTTTGGAAACTGTGTATGTGTTAAGGAGAACCCGATGAATACAAGAGCAAGTAGAGCAACAAAGGGCCCTTATGTGAATATCTCATTTTACTTAGTGAAAGCTCGTTACATTCTGCAGAACCGAAGCAATCTGGGGACAGATTCCCCAGATAATTTAAATTCCATGAAGGTTAACCAGTGTTACAAAAATAAAAGCCTAAGGTCTTCACAGCATGTGTGGCAACATCCTGGCCAGTCTGTAATTGCTACTATCTGGTAACTAAATGGTAAAAAACAAATTGTCTTTGAACTGGGCTAGTACTGTGAAAGCTTTATGAAAGGTAGGTAAGTCTGTGCTCATTTGTGCAACTTGGCTCACATTGTTCACTGGGTCTTCGCCAAACATATCTGTTGTGTAATTATATGGCTCACTTTAATAAGTTCACAGACGTTTTGAGGGATGCAACTAACATTTCCTTCTCCTTTCAGTAATTATACAATACTTACCGCAATGAGACCCAAGTCCTAATATGGTGGACCTGAGCCATCATTTACAGTAATAACCAAAGGAAATGCAGAACATCAGAACAAAGAAACGCTCAGTACTGTGTTGAAACAACTGAGATAAGACTTTTTTAAAAAAAAAAATGTATCCTGAAACATTGTAAGAGCGGTTCTTTGTCTGCCTGAATAAATTGACCAATTTCCTTGTGGGGGAAAAAAAAATCTTTAGGTGAGTTTCTACACTACATTTCAGACTTAGAAAAATTGAATAATACTGACTAAAACTAAGAGCAGTCTCAGTGAAGTCAGCTTCATTAGTTGAGATTCCTGCATGAGACAGTCAGAACACAGTAATGTGGGCATGGCTTCACGTCCTCAGTCTGACTGTAAAGACAAGCCATCATCCCTGACTGAGGAAGGGGCGTTTGGGAGAAAGATTCATGTTTTAAGCTTGAAAAGTGCCCAAGAAAGATATTTTATACAGAGTTCCAAAAATGTTTTCATTACATTGGAGTGTTTCTGGACTATTTTCTTCAAATAACTAGTTGCAGAATATTTTATTCAGGGTTGGTTACTCCATGCTCATGTAATCCTATAGAAATAGGACAATTTCTATGTTGAGGTACTAGTCAGTATGACTGAGGGTGCTGGGATTTGGACCATACAATTTAGAGCTTTTTTAAATGTTTCCAACACCACATCTAACCTCACTGAATTTATTTAACATACATTGTTAGGAACAGCCTTGAAAGTGATCTTCCCTACAAGGGAAACSTGTGGTCTTTCAAAGAATGAGTAAAATATAGCTATAGAAAATATGCATGGAAGATCAATCTTTTTGTGGTCACAACAAATGTCCAGCTTGCCAGGGCTTTATGGCCTACTACATAATGTTCATTTTAGCTAACCGTAACCTTAACATATTTCTTTGACAAGAATCTAGTCACAATGCAGCATTGCTTAGCAGCTCAGCCATCCTGGCTGCAAACTCTCATCTAGAAAGTAAACATATATATGCTATGAAGGTACTTTATGGCTTACCTAGGTCAGAGCACTGCACCACACGAAGGTGACACTGGCAGCGGAAGGGGCATATTGGTCCATATCCAGATATCACAGGATCCTCTGTTGGAGGCAGATCGGCAGACCCTTCATCCTCTAGCATAAAGTCAAACAAGCCCTTTTGGTGGAATGGCTTGGCCAAGCATACTGGCAGCAGTAGGACGAAGAGGAGAGCCAGCTTCATGGCTTAGTTCATTGACTCTCAGCAGGACCTAGAAATCAAAGYAGGAGATTTAAACCAAAAGTAGCAGTTTTCCATAGCTGCAGAGTTCCTGCTGAAGGAGGTCCAGCATATCCACCAATTGCATAACTGTTCCTTCCAGCAAGTGAAAACTGAATTTTGAAAATAGGGCAGTTATGTGATAGGAGCCTGGTAACTTCTTGTCAATAAGTTTTNTTTTTTTTTTTTTTTTTGGTAACAGAGCAGTTCAGAGGCAATTGTAAACACATCTGTTTGTATATTTAGAGTAATATTTATTAGGAACAGGCAGCACTGTCAACTTTGTTATGCAAAAGAGTCAACACAATAAGCCACATTTTCCATTTGTCTGTTTTCTTTCTGCCAACGTAACAGTCTATTTTATTTCATTAGCATTTGTTTCATAGCAATGAGTATCTTCCCTAGGGATGAACCTGAGTTTCCCAAATTCACTGTAACGCATTATTTTATGTCTTGAAAAAACTTTTTTTAAGAAGTGCCAGCTTGCTGTGTGTTTTAAATTATAGTCTAGTAAAACCGGTTGGGAAATAGAGTAAGATCTAGTGATGGGGTGGAGAGAAAGATCTTCAGCCGTTTAAATAAGCTATATTTCTTTCTCAGTTAAATAGCACAATAAAACTGAATACAGTGTTGTACTATATTGCATGTTCTTGGCTTTCTTTACAGATTTTTGGCTATRGTATCCCATGTTTTAACAGTGTACCCTGAAAATCCTCTTTTTGCTCTGGGTAAGTATTTGAATGAATGCTTGTAGAATTGTCAACATACTCCATACTGGGCCTTATTCTGCAAGCTTTCAAGGGAAAGTGTTTAAATATGCGTTTTCAGGACTGAGACATTCACTTCACAATAGTGTACATTGCACTATGTTGTTGCATGCTGAAGAGAAACTACACAACAGCTGTTTTCAGGTTTTGCATCAAGGCAATATAGAACAGCTGTTTTTCTGAAAATTATTTTCCTTTGCTATCTGCATTATATGAGGAAACATTTTTTTTTTTTACAGCACTTCATGGGACTAAAAAACAGTGTCACAACAACCCACAAAGAAACACTGCCTTCAAGTCATCAACTGACAGAAAGACAGTCTTGTCCTTCGGTTATAAATGTCATCTTAAAGTGGATAACATAATGTTAAATACAGTTGTTTTTCTTTGTAAATAAAGCAAAAATGTTCACTTGCTTCTTCAGGTGCAAAACTAGGTCATTGAAATTCACTTCTGTAATGCATTATTGAGGTACTAAAGGTGGATTTTTCTTTCCTAGCAGAAAATTACCTAACAGGAGTTACCGTGACTATGGTTATGGCATACCATTTCTCAGCTCCATACTGACTAATAGAGAAGGAAAACAATYTCTTTGAGAGGAAGAGGAGGATGAAAGTCTCCCTCTCTCCACTGACAGAAGGAAGCTGCTAGAAGCCTTAGAAAACTGATGATCAGTGAGCATAGTAGGGCCTTTCTTTCTGGAATATCATATCCAGTTATAATAAAGGAACTGGTTAGTATAAGAAAAAAAAATTGCTAATCACAAGCCTGGAATTAAATGCAGTCTCTATAATGCTTGGATTCAATATCCTTTATAAATTTGCTCAGGTAGATGCCCTTAACGCAACCCTGCTAAGCATTTCAGCTTCATTTTTGAGTTGATGGTAAGTTCACTGTCTAAAATATGCAAGTATTTTAAAAACGTAGCTAGCACTTCTGCCTTGCACCTAATAGGAAGGCAGGTATTTAATGTCTTTAAATGTCCTCGTGACTTCATAGCAAGCTCACGTGGTGTCRGATTTGCTCAAGTTGCCTCCATGACAAACGTGCCCCGCCGGCGGCAGGGCCTGATCCTTCCCCAGCAGCGCCGCCGCAGAAGGGCGACGATGGCACCACAGAGCGGTGTGAGTCATTGTCCCCATCCAAGCTCATCCGTCGTGGCTTTGTGTGGTTGTAAAACCACAGTGCAGTTTATGTATATTTTGAAAGAGGAGGACAAACTCAGTAAACCATCACTGTTCGCTTCGGTGAGCTGCTTTGTGGAAAAGATCAATAAAGTGCTAACAGAGAGCAAATCAGGTTTCAGAGTGCCCCTTTAGCATCAATAAACATGGGGAAGGCTACACACAAAAGCTGTCATGGTACTGCTCCAGCTCTTTTTCGCATACCATTATGTATTTTTTTAAACCTGCTTGTATTCCTGCTAATAGCACTGCTGCAGCACCCTCAGCTCCAGGAATGTGCATTCAGGACCCTTTYCTGGAGCTAAATTATTGCCCTGAAAAAATATTCAAAGGCACATTGGCAGTGTATGCACACTTTTTGTTCACACTAACGACTTCACTTATCCTGGTTAAACACTGCAGAGAGTCTTCCTTTGTTCATTCCTTTGCCAAAACTGTAACAAATTCAGTAGCAGTTGTCTATAAGAGAGAACTATAGGACAACAAAAGATTGCAAGGAACTAATCTGAGGACAAAATGCAGAATATAACAGATAAAAACTACCTCTCTAACAGGGAATAGGAACAGATATGTGTGCATATTTGTCTTTATTAATAAACATATTCCGACTTCATGCACACACACCTCTTCCTTTTGTTTGTATTTGTAAATTAATGTAAACAGTGAGATAAAAAATATATACAGAACTGTTCTAGTAAGAAATGTTTGCATTTCACTTAGAAAAAAATAGTGAAGAAAAAAGTTATCTGAATTCTTAAATGTCTGTGACAYGGTATTTATGTCTGCAGGACATAACTGTTTAAATTCACTCTAATTATATGTTTACAATGAAGAAGACTTTTCCACAAACAGAGGAAACTATAGCATACACTTGGCCATGTTTCAGTTCAAAATAGCCCTGGAAATAATGCTTCATCAGTACACGTCACCACTATATTGGTGGTCATCTTTTCAGTTTGTCTTAATATTAAGTATTAAATATTAGTTCATCCACAGCCAGAACTCTTAAAACGCCACAAAAAGCAAGCTGAAYGATATATGCATTTTCCAGAAATCCCCTACATTATATGTTTTACCCATTTTGTGCAATAAAGTCTAGCTGTAGAAACCCAGGATCTGGGAGTTTAAAGAGATTAAAACTCCATTGACAAAAGTTTCAACTCCAGAAACTCTATTTAATTTGCAGGCACCTTTAAACGCAATTCCCCTGTTTGTATACTGTAACACAGCACATTCTACCATTACAAAGGCATACATTCAGTCTGCTTAACTATCGACTGCACATTTTTCTCTCTGAAATTGTAATTATACTCATTTGGAATATATATGAAGAAGTCTGAAAGAAAAATTTCACAGAACATACTTTACAATCAGAAAAGTACAAACTCACACATTTTTAGCACTCACTACATCACCCACTCTAAACCCTGGACTGCAAACAGAGAATATATATTGCTGCAAAAGTTTACAGTAAGGAAAAAGAAAGGACTATAGCGGTGCTTATACAAATCAAAACAAAAGACAGAACAGTCAAACAAACAGTAGGAAACGTGCACAGCCCTTAAGATCGCATTCTCATGTTCTCAAGCTAGAAAAATGCCGGATACAACATTTAACATTGCTAAACTTTTAGTAGGATTTTTCTTCTTTCTCTTAGAATTCARCTAGCTCGAGCCGTAGACTTGCCTGAAGTTTTATTAGTCTGCAGCATAGTTGAGGAGAATTACTGAAAACCGTACCTTTTAATCCAGGGATTTGCAACAGGAGCTCTCAAAGCTGAGATGTAATTAAACTAAATATTCAACCCAGGCAAAAGGCTTTGCAGGTGTGGAAAGGAGGAGGGGGTAAGTTCAGCTCAGTGACTGTCACTTGGTGGAAAACCCTCCTGCTTCTATTCCATAGCACAGTTAAAAAATAAGGTTTCTCTCAATGAACACAATCCAGGCTGACACCCACATTAGATCATATGGTAATGATATGTCTCCTGTATTGTAGCCAGAAATTTTATCAGCTCTTTTGCTTTCTTTTCCTCTTTTTATTTTTTTCTCTTGCTTTATTTCTTTTTCATCTGTTTAGGATCTCAAACTTCTTGTACACTATATGCCATGTTCAGATGCAATTCATCTTATTTTATTTATGTCCTTAAAGCATGTATTTAGTAAAGTTTTCTTAGTCTTAACTATGTTTTCCTTTTCTGACTCATTACCAAGAAAAAAAAAGAAGTCTGTTTCTCTTGTTTGTAATATTTGTACTTCAAGAACATGATATAAAATTAATTTTAGAGCTTGTCAAAATAGAGAATAACATTAGAAAAAAAGGAGTAACTTTAGGCAAAACTATTTGTACAGATATCAACCTGCCTATATGCTTATGCTATAATCATTGTCTAAGCCAAGTAGTATAACCTATAATATACTATTATTATCCTGTATAATAATAAACTTTTAATGTATTTCTTCAAACTATGACATGTTATATATATATATGTATATAAAATCATGTTTTCATTAGTAGAATGACTCTAACATTTGTGGTTAGGACTGGTTTATATAAACTTTTATTTTTTTACTGCATTCTCACCAGGCAGCAACACAGAGGGAAAATTAGTTTTAACTCATTTTTTTCTACATACAGTGGGGCTTTTATAAAAAATACATGAAATAATTTATCTGATTCATTGCTTATATTTTATTTGAATATGCTKTTCTGATGCAAATATCAATAGAAACTAAAATGCAGTTTCTCTCTTTCTGCACAATTTTAAAAGTCTAGTAAGCTCAAAGGAGACGAAGCACAATAATTGCTATTTATTTAGTAACCCAAAYACAGTGTGAACATGTGTAGCTTCCCTGTGCTGTTAGATGTCCTGTCTAAATACTGSAGGCTTGTATCTCTCTGTTTTGACTTGTACCCTTTTATTTCTGCCCCTAGGCTAAGACCAGGTGCAAATCTGAAATTAAAGCCTGTGAAATGTGAAAGGTTGTTGAAAAGAAGACTGAATTTTCAGAAACACAATAAACTATTGAAATTTTAGCTATTTTCTTTATTTAATTTTAAGAAGAACCATTATAGCTTCCTTCCTTTGGTGGAAGCAAAAATGGTGGAATAATTGACTGCTAGTTTTGATTAGTGCAGCACAAAGACGTAATCAGAGATTTTGTATTACTGATTCTGTTTATATTACACTGTAAAAGTAAGGATCATTTATTTCTCTGGAGGTAGCTTCTTTCCCCTTCCTCTCCACTAGATTCAAGACTGCCAGTGTTTTCTATTGTGACTTTTTCTACATATGATTAGTTGTGCTCCAAGCTTTCATGTTTACAACAATGCCTTATCTTTGTCCAGAAGTGTCGCCATGAGGCTTGCTGAAATCTTGGCTGCATCTTAATAATGTCAGTTATTTGAACCTTGGTCAGCAGCTGCATCTGCTGTTTAAAAAACATTTCAAAGCAAGATTTTGATGAGGAACAGGTCAGGGTAAACTTGTTGTCAGTTTGCTTCACAAAATCTATCCATATCCTTTCCTTGTAAAATCCTAATGCATTTATTCCAACATCTAGAGAGGTGTTAAAACKTCATAGCATCTCTTTATTTGGAGACAAGGGAGGGAATGAACACCTCTCCTTTTTTTTGTCTTTGGGATTATGGACGCTCAACATACTTGCAAAAACTGGATGCCGAGGTGKGAACAGGTGGATAATGAATTGGGAAATCACAGGCCTCCCTGAAGAGGAACCAGTACAGGTAGAGGGAGACTTCTCCTCCCTGTCTCTTAAAAGTAGCCATTCCATGAAGGTCAGAGTAGAAAATATCTTACTTCCATTAAGAAATCAAGAGACAAATGGGTATTAGATGTCCAACTTCTCCTGAAATACAAAGTGTGATACATGKAGGACTAAGAGAGGATAGGGAACTTGGGAGACTGAATTGTGGTGCAGGACTCTACTAAGTGTGTGTGCATACTATTCTTTGGGACATTTATATGCTGAAATGGCAATGTGAGATCCTTTCTGGTACAAGTAATCTCTTACCTCCACTCCTATATAACTTAGAAGATAAACACTTTTACAGAAAAAAAACTCTCTGTTATTTTAATGTCAGTGACTATGATTAATGTCTTTCCCAATCTTATCTACTTTAACTATAGCCTAATCAATACCAAAACATCATAATTAGAATAGCTGTTTTCTGTAAGATTTCAGTAGTCCAACTTAACAAACCTGTAGGGCTTCATGCTGCTCTCAATCTCATACTGACTCATACTCATATCTCTCATACTGTTTCTCAAAAAGTTACAGACAACTTTGTGTTAATGTTATTTACATAACTGTATTTTTATTATATTTTGATGGATAGCATCTGCTTCATTGGCTACTATCTTACTTTGTGGACTTTCCAAAGGGCAAGGGCAGGGGAGAAGAGAGGAAGCCTGCTTGTTCGCCTCATATTGGCTGCTGTGCCCAGGTCCGGTGGCAATTTTTGCAGGAAGGAAAAAAGCAGCTGCCTCATGAGGATGTGCCTTGGGGGAAGAGCTTTTGGCTGGGGGTTGAGGCAGACGTAGAGCCAGCAGGAGCTCAGCGCTCCTGTCATGGTTTAAAAGGTTCCTYAAAAAAATGGGTAGCAGTGAGACAATGCAATCTCTAGGGAGTGGAAGAAAAGGCTAGATTTCGGTAGCCTGGAAAAGAATCATATCATTGCAGTCTGGAAAGTTACTAGAAAAACACTAAGGCAGGAGGAAAAGGCCTGTTCTTCAAGGATAGTGTGGCCCAGAAATTCAGGTTCTTTCTTGCACAAAACTTTCTCTCCTCTAATGTCTGTTGTTTTGGTCTCCATTCTTACAGATCACAACTTTGACAAGCCAAGCCCGTAGTGTTTTTTGTGGTAAGGACGAGGGGCAGAAAGTTCTGCCTCAAAGCCCTCATTAATCAGTCAGGTAAGTGATCCTCTCCAGCATGAAGAAATGGCAGGAGATCACATGTTTAGGTGCCACTTAGAGGTCCTCTCCACCACCACTGTCGCTGTATCTGATGACTGGGCTTTATGAGCGCCCAAGGACAACATCATTAYCCATGCATTCTAACACATCACTGACAGTCTCTCCTGATCTTTCTGCACTATGTGTAATGATTTCTTCCAAGCACCTGTAGGAAACTCTTCTTTAACATAGCAGTAGAGTTCCTATACCAGAAATGTGGGTAAATATTGACATAAGATGAGTAAATATTAATCCAGGTAAATATTGAACCAGGCACAGACTGACAAGGTAGTTAAAGAGAYAGAAATCTAGTTACAGGATATTTTCAGTATCGAAGTTTCCTTCAGTACTCATATGAGCCTAAAAAAATGATACTCCTGAATTTCTTGACATTTCTACAGATCAAAAAGACCAATATATCAGATTTTGGATTTGTGCTTTCAAAAGCATTTCAAAAGCATTTCAAAAGCATCTGCAAGCGTGGAAGCATCTCTTCTGTAACGGTTTAAGCAAAACACAACCAAACTTCTGTTCAAACATCTGTTTGGGAGAAGAGTCTCTCCCATCATTACCTGTCTTCCCTCATTTCTGCACGCCACGAGGCCATATACTATGTAGGCCACCCCTGGCAGCGTAATGACATTGCTGATTTCTGCAGAAAGGTTGTGGGATGTGCAGGTCACTTCAGGAAACAATTCAACCTGTTCTCAGTCCTACAGACAAAATATCCTTCATGTGATGACATCCTTCACCTTGGGCTCTTTTCTTTGGAAGGGTCAGTCTGTTCCCGTACTCAATGCTGGCATTCATTTCCACTGCCCTTAGCAGTCTCTCCTGGATCAAACTGTTTTGTCCAGCTGCATCCAACAGCTGAAGGAGATAACCATATGTCAATGCAACCTTACCACACACTTTCACATGCTCTGAATTTAGCTTCTGACCCTGAAGAGGAAGTCTGTCCTAACTGCTCCTCACACTTTCACAGTATACAGTATAGAAGCACATATCAAGATCACTATTACTTACCTCAAAAATACACTGAATATGTAAAGCTAGATCTTTTATGAGTCCTCCCAGCCACTAGCCATCCTAGAAGTACAGAGTGAGAGATAAATAGATGTCATCATAGAACCAGAGATCCCAAAACTCATCTTGACTAAATAATGGTGAAGCAATGGTGAAACATATGCAAAAGCATTTACTGTGGGAATACAAGGCTACACTCCCAATGGAAGTGAGTATTTTTTTCTTGAGAAAGCCTTCCCAGAAACGAGGGTCACTCTGGCAGTGGGGAGCAAGAAAAAAAATAAAATTGATAGCCCTTAGGTCATTCTCTGGACAACTCTCACCATCTCAGCTGGATTACACAATGCCCTAGAAAAGGATCACAGTAGTTCACGCAGTTGTTGGAACTGTACGCGTTGCATGTCCTCTGTTACTCAGGGGTTATGAACCCGCATGCAAAATGAGACACATCCTGTGCAGCCTTGTGCCGCTCAGGAACCTATTCCCAGATTATGAAAAACATGTGAATGGCCAGGTTGTATCCTTCATTTCCGATTTAGTCATCACACAGAGCAAACTTTTTCAGAGGGAAAAAATGACTGCATTACTGAGGAAAGTYTTGAATAAAGAGTGCAAGACTAAAAGGAGGGCATTCATGGTAGGATTTATGTCTGTGTGTCTGTATTAAAATGCTCATTTTTCTATGTTGGCAATCTCTAAGGAAATAAAAGATTACTATCTTCATCTCTGTTAAGGAACATATGATGTAGTGACTTTAAGATGTAAACAGTGACATCATAAAATGTACTGTTTCTTTTTGGGTTGATTGACCTCATTTTACTGAAGAACTTTTGAGGATCTTTAAAGGGGTACTCAGGAGTACATAAGCTCCAATTCTGTTCAAACATGCGTGTCCTATGGGGTTCAAATAAAAATGTTTTTCTCTTA